CTGAGGCTTACTTTGAAGGGTGGCAGTTCAACAGAGAGGTGCCAAGGACAGGGCGTTCGAGGCAAGAAGGGGTCCGCTCACCTATTTGCTGAGGTTACAACACAGTGAAACATGGAGCAGTGCCCGAACAGGGCCGCAAATGACTGCTGATAACGTGTTTGTGTCTGATGTTTTTGACATAAAAACATTCTCAACGCAATGTAATCTGCCAGTTCTAGGGCAATTACAGGTGGGTGGGCTGGGGCAGAGAGCCAGCGTGAGGCTTGAGAGGGCCTGTCTGCAGACACAAGCGCAGTCTGTGAAGCTAAGGTAACCTGCACCCAGTGCCAGGTCCTTCTGGGGTGTGAGGTCCCAGCCACATGGGCTCCCACCCACCTCTCCCTGACCAGCAGAAGCTGGGCAGGCTGGGGCAATTCCGGGTGCCCTCAGGCGGGCAAGGACGTTTGCCTCTTTGTAAAAGCTATGCAGAGACCACAAGTGGATCTCGGTGAGATTCAAATCACCCTCAAGGGGAGCAGGGTGGGACAAGAGCTGCGGTCTTAGCGTGGAGGCTGGAAGGGGCTAGAGCCCCCTTCTCTTCCTGCAGCTCCAGACGCTGCAGTCCCAGAGCCACAGTGGCCTTCTCGCTTCCGGAGCTTAGGAGACCCCAGCTGTGCTCAGCACTGTCTGACCAGGCAGGGAGTCCGGATGACAACCTTTTCTACCCTAGACCTACTCAGTAGCATCGGGCAGTGCACTGAGGAGGAGTTGGCGGCTTTCTAGCCTCGGAGCCAGCCCATGTCCAGCAGAGCGAGCAGGACCCCTGTGCTCGTGCATGCCCAGAGCAGCCGTCACCCCAGTAGGAAGGCAGATGGATCAGCAGACAAACTGCCAGGGGTTCATGTGGCTCTATCAGCACATCCATACTTCTGGGGCGAGTGTTCTGGAAGGACACCAGGACCCAGTGCTCTGGAAACAGATTCCCCAGCAGCTGCTTTTTACCATGGCAGAGTCGCAGAAAAGACAAAGACTGGATTGAAACTCACCTTCCAGAGTCACCTTGCTCGGGGACACAGTGTGCACAGCGGGGAGTCTGCTGTCCAGCGGGCTGGTCACCGTTGCCAGGTCACTGTCGTCCAGGCCCATCGGCAGCGTTTGCACAGAACTGGCAGAGTCCCAGGGGTTTGGCCCAGCAGCACCAACAGCAGGCGAGGAGATGACGGCTCCCAGGAAGGGCAGGAGACTGAGGCCCGGGAAGCTAAGGGAGGGCCAGAGGCAACAGTCAGCAAGCAGAGCCCCGAGCCACACCCTGCTCCAAAAAGGCTCCGGGAGATGAAATTATGATTTTGTCAGAAATCTGTTTGCACTCATGGACTCTGCTGCCAGAGGTCCTCACAGCTCCCACGGCCTCCCCTTACCCGACAGTCTTCATTCCCCAAAGAAGCTCTGACATCCCAGAAGTTTAGATAACTCCTAAGTTTCTTCCCAAGACCGCTCTGCCCTCGAGTGTCCCTTCCTGGTAGGCTGCATGGTACCAGTAATTCCTTCTGAACACGATATTGCAATAGGCTAAAAGTATGTCCACTGATTTACCTTCTACCTGAGGGTGAGAAGCTGGTTTCACTGAGCTTGATTTCCTCCTACCTTTCACAAAATTCTTATTCTCATGCAAACAGTGAAATCCTAACCTTAAATATTTTTTATACCTTTCTCCAGGGTTTCCAGGGCCTGGTTGCTGCAACAGACTTTGCTTCCAGCAGCTGGTATCATTTCCCGACTTGAGATCCAGTATCATTATGCTGAAATGATCTTGTTTTGTAAGTCAAAAAGGAAGGAAGAATAGGGGCAAGTTTCAAATGATTTCACTAATACATGAGCAAATTCACCAAAAGGGCCGTGAGTGACCCCAAACACTGCATACGGGAACAGCAGAGCGTTAGCAGGTGGCTGTCTGGTGCCAATTTTTGTAGCTTGACTGCCATCTGGGACAAGGAGGACCCCAGGCCATTCTGGGTTGGCTGCCCAACTCTTCGAGACAAGGACTCATATGCTGCCTAAATGGGCCTTGAATTTTTGATCCTCCTGCCTTAACCTCCCAAACAGCTGGAATTACAGGTGAGCTCCACAGTGCCTATCTCTCTTTTGGTCTTAGGGTAAAATGTCTCAGAAGTGACAGCATCCACAGCCAGCCAGGGTCTGGAGAGAGAGAAAGTGTGCCTGCAAGCACTCAGTGCAGGCCTCCAAGGATGATGTCAGAGGACAATAATTGGCCCTAAAACCATGAGGCGCCTGTTCTGAGACTCCCAAAGACTCCTGGCATGTGGGAGCACACCCCAGGAGACCACAGGGCAGCCGGTGGACTCCAGTTCATTCTTTTTCTTTTAATTATTTCCTCTCCATAAAAACAGCACCAGGATAGAACTTACTGAGTTCAGAATGTTCCAGGGCACATAATCAGACTACCCTGGTTCCAACTCGCTGCAGTGCTCCATGGCCTCCCCGCCCCTCGTGATCCTCCACAGCGAGACAGGGTGTGGGGCAGCCTCCCGAAGGCCACACAGGGCCCTCAGGGTCTCTCCGTCCCCCGTGCCCGAGGCAGATGGTCTGGTCCAGGCTGAGGTCAGGGACACACAGATGCCCTCAGGCACCTGGCTCAGCTGTTGAAGGCAGGACCAGGCCTGCATTTTCATTTATGGGCCAGAAATGTGTGCCCTGGATTTACCTTTCAGATGGTGCCTGGGAAGGAATCCTACAGGAACCCTGCTGGGGTCTGAGGCCTGCCTGGAGGGCAGCAGTACTTGGCTAGAGTTTAATGTTATTGTTTCCTCTATTTTTAGAAGACTTTTCTATGATAATTGATACTGATTACTTTCTTCAAAACAAACTTAACCTTTTAATAAAAGACATGAGTTGCTCGAAGGAAAAAACATTGATATCCAAAATTAAGTTTAGGGAACTCCAAGTCCAACCCTGCTCCTGACCTTTGGAGTGCTTCCTAGCATCTGTCCTTTACACACTTCTCATAATGGGGTGCTCACTACCTTTGAAAGGCATCTTCCAAGCCCAGGCCAGGTCCACAGAGGTGCCACTCCCTCCCAACTGGGGAAGGTGCTAGTGGGCATCCTGTCCTCCCCAGAAGTCTCCCACCTCCTGTCTCAGGGGAAGATCCTGGTACCCTTGCTCCTTTGGGAGGAGTTGTCTCAGTCCAGAAGGTGGCTGAGCGGAGGCCAGTCCCTGGGGCAGCTGGGGGTGGAACTCCTCGGAGATGGCCGGTCTGAGGACTTAAGCACCCTGTCTCCTCTCTACCCCGGGGGCTCCCCTCCAGCTGGAGCTTCCAACCTCTCACCTCCTCCCCTGGGTCCAGCCAGTTCAGCTTACCTAGCTCATTTTAGAACTCCCGCACACACATGCACGGTTGACTTTTAGCCAGATGTGTGACGGTACCTGGCTGGATCCCAGCGCTCTGGGAGGTTATGGAGGAGGATTTCAAGTTCGAGTTCAGTCATAGTCCATTTAGACTGTGCCACACAATAAAATAAAATAAAATAAATAATAATGAAAGGTCTGGGGTGTGGCTCAGTGCGAAGGTTCTGGGTTCATTTTGCGGTACCACAAACTTAAAATAAAAATACCGAACCCAAGAAGGACAAGCCTGTGGAGGGCTGCCATCAGCTGTTGACAGGAGGCAACACTAGGAGCCAGTGTGTGACCAGCTTCATTCCGTTTTATCTCTTTTGCTCTTCTGAACGCCCTCCTTTGAGGTCAGTTTTACAGATGAGCGTATGTTCGGGGCACGCAGCAGGGAACACCGGTAGGAGTTTTACTGGGCTGAGAAGATGCAAACGCGTCGGGTGCTCGATGGGGCCAAAGTCGGCTGGTTTCCTGGAAACCGGTGGCGGGCGGGGCCCGAGGCTTCCCGGGCCCCGGCTCTACCCGCGATCCGCTCAGGGCGTGTGGTGCAGACCCGCGGGGAATCACAGGGGGCGCTGCGGCCCCTCGCCTCGGCGAACTTG